ATGGGTGTCCATAAGCTCTAAGAAATGTAAAGCATTTCCTGTTTTTTTAAACATGTGGCATCCATGTTTACTAGCTCCCCGTCTTCTTCTTCAGTCTTTGCGGGCACACTGCTTAATTTCTTGGCACTTTACCATCACTTACAGATCTGTGGAATAGTGTGAAACACATAAACCAAACTAGGAATTCACTCAAAACTGTCAAAAACTCCACAGGGAACCGACAATAATGTAAGAAAAGACTACACCAAAAAGTCTGCAGACATTAAATCCAAGGAAAATATGCAGAGAATTTCTTCCTTTTTACGAGTTTATACTGAAACACATTTCATAGTGCAAGCAGCTAAACAAACTCTTTTCTAAAATAATTAATGCAAAAATGTTTTTTAATTGTAGCCTAGTTTGTAAAGATTGTCAGGGTGCATTTAATAACCTTTAATCTAAATAGTTACCGATGTGGTATTGCTTCATCTTATTTTACACATTTATATTGTAAACATATTTTACTTTATATTGTTAACATATTTTAATGCTATGGTCTGTGAGGATATAGCCTACTGTAGGTCTTGTGGTGGTTAAGCCTGGATATCACACTATTAACTTTTCTAAAAATGATTTCTCCCCAGTTACAAAGAGAAGATAGTTACGCTGTCTCAAATACACCTGGACCGTCCGGTTGAGCCTTTGGAACTGGCTGTTTTCTGGACTGAGTTCGTCATGAGACACAAAGGAACCCCACACCTACGGGTAGCTGCACATGACTTGAACTTGATTCAGTACCATAGCTTGGATGTCATAAGCTTTTTGTCATCATTTTCTTTACTGTTCTGTGGGTAACACTCAAATGCTGCTTGTTTTGCACCCGCAAGTGTTGCAGAAAGGGGACTACAAAGAGAAAGCAATCGTAGTGTTTGTCATGCAACATTCAATAGGTTTTAGGAGGTTGAAACACTGCAATGACATTTAAACTTATGTACTCTGTGTGTGTGTGTGTGTGTGTGTGTGTGTGTGTGTGTGTGTGTGTGTGTGTGTGTGTGTGTGTGTGTGTGTGTACAGTACTAAGTGTAAAATCTCAGATATAGTGTCATTAATGCAATATGTCTTTAACATATGTATATCTGGCAATGACTGAATGAAATTATCCCCTGGAAACAAATAAAATTATTTTAACTTTGTCATGGATTTATTTGAATACCCTTTAGATTACCAGATAACTGATTACTAGATACCATTTCTCACTTTGAAGTTTTTACACCAAGTGAACTCCTTCGATGTCCAGCCCTCTGTGTGAGATAGTTTTACTGGCTGCAGGAGTCCATTTTGGTGACTTTGTTTATTTTAGTTTTTTTCCCTATTGTTTATGTACAATGTCCTACAAATTGTACAGCCTTTTACAAGCTTTGCTTGTAATTAAGCTCTTTAGGCAATATAATCCCCTTCATCAGCCATATTGGAGGTCCACAGCTCTTGGTGAGATTACAAATAACAGTTGATCACATTTCTGAATTTAAGCCACAAAAGTTGATGTCTCAACAGTAACTATGAGACAATATTTCTGTTCAGCTTGTAACTAGTCAGTGAGCAAGAGTGAAATTATGTTTCATCTTGGATTCTACCTGGGTTGAGTTGAGTTCTATTAAATAGGCCTGCACTCTGTTGGAGTAAGTTGTGTTTGTTGAGGTAAACTCAGAGAATACATCAGATGAGATTGCATGCAGAGACATGAAAACATGTTTCTCCAGTTTGTCATTATACATCAGAAAACAAAACTGGTGAATGGTTGAAAAATAAAGCCAACTTGGGTTTTCATGACACTATAGGAGCAAAATTTGACAAATATTAAAGGAGGGCGGAGGCAGAACACAGGGCAAAGTTGTATCATTTTTGGTGAATCTCTTTTGCTGGAAAGACTGAATAATTATACGATGTCATTTCTTATCTTCACTACTGGCTGTACTGTGTGGTCTTATTTTGTCCCTCACCTGCAGACAAATATACAGACAGCTTTTTTTTCGTTTGAGCTCACTGTCATTACATCTTGTTTTTATTCTTTAATATGAAAACTGCAAATTGTACTTTAGACCATTTCTTTTGTCACTGAGACTCTGTCAGCAGGGTACTAACTAAACAGTACCCGACTTTAACCCGCAGTTGTATCTAGAGGGCCATCCTAATTCTTGCACAGATTAGAAATAGACGAAATGAGGACTGACTGTCAAAGATCCCTGCCTTCCCCTCATCAATGGTTCAATCGCAAATACACCAGACATTTGTGTTTCTGGGAAATGTTGAGACCAACAACCTTAAATTACACGAGGGTAGTTTTCTAAGGAGCTCTGCCTCATCAAGATGGCCCCACAAAACGATTTGTAAAGTAATGTGTACGGTGGACTTAAATTACAAGTGTGAAAGGCTTCATCCAACTCTCAATAACCTAGAACCCGACCTAAACATTTAAAATATAGTTTTTAAATGTGAGTTGATATATTTTTAATTTACAGGATCGCAATCCCTGGAAACATTAACATGTTACAGTACTAGAAGTAAGGTAAGTATGCAAAATGAGGGGCTAATGTGTATGTTAGGAACACAAAAAGCCTTTAGCGCCATCTACTGTTCAGTAGACACAATTGCATGTGCTTTATGAGGTTCACAGCTCCCTTGTAAAGTCATTGCTGTTTTATTTTTTTCCCCTCCATCTATCCATTATCTATACCCACTTATCAATACAGGGTCAAACCCTGAACCTTTGTAACAGTGCTAACCACTGTTTTTTGTTTCATGTGTTTAAGAATACTCAAGCCTTGATAGTTAGCCTAAAACCACTTGAGCTCTTTTAAAAAAAATTGAATTAGACGATGAGGGTAAAGGCCAGTATGATGAGGGGTGTGTGTGTGTGCATAGGTCAGCGTGTGAGGTGTGACTTTGTTCGCAATGTGGTAAATGTGGCCTCGATACACAGTTTTCCACTCTACCTTTTTTAAGCAATAGGAAATAGATGCTACAAATAGACGGGACCTAAACAACCGCTAATGGCACAACCGAATTAAAACTTTCCAAAGATGCCTTTTCAGAATTCATTATCATCAAATCATTATTTTTGTTTTGCTGTAGCACACAAGCATAATCCCACATGTAGAAGCACAAGGAGATATACAGTGTATAATACAGTGAAGTGCTTCACATTTAGATTGCTGATGATTTGACCACGTCATTTAACAATTTATTTAAACAAAAATGACAAGTTGACAGTTTTATCTGGTTTTATTAAAGGGTCTCACTTATGCTCCAGTAAAGAGGGGGGAAAAAAGTTGTGATGGCGTCTCTTCTGTGCTAGAATGATTTTGACACCCTGCCCACAAAGTTTCCGTTGTAGCAGTTGGAAGCTTGACTACAAAAGGTGGTACAGGGGAGCGCTGTCAGCCACTGTTCAGCTTTTACTTCCATACAGCAACCATGATTCATACATACTTCACTATATTTTTCTTTCAGCTGCTCTCCTTCACTGGTAAGATGAAGTAAAATTCCTTTCAGAAGTATTGCTAGAGGAGTGACTATAAATAAACGTTATAATAATAGCAGTTTTTAAAGGATCACAGCTGATTTTTAAAGAAGTCTCTTAAATTGCAACAGATTGAGTTGGAATTAATAATATCTCATTTTTCTTTTTTCATTCTGGAACAACACCAATGATTTTGCTGGTGAGGAATTTGTAATATGTGTATTATTTAACCATCTCTCTTTGTGTAAGGGGCTTCTGAGAGCGGCATAGTGGGTGGTAAGGTTGCAAAGCCTCATTCCAGACCCTACATGGCTTCACTCCAGTTTAGTGGACACCATTCATGTGGCGGGATACTTATTCGGGAGGACTTTGTTCTAACTGCAGCACACTGCAAACGGTGAGTTTATTATGCATCAATGCAGAATCACAGAGCGACAAGGATACCTTTTTGGATGTCACAATGAATTAACAAGATAATGGGGAATAATTCTGTGGACTTTAATAATTGTTTTATTCCCATAACTGATTTATTGTTAATAACTTTTAATAGCTTTCATTTTTAAAAATGTAATGCTGTTTCAATGATATATCATAGTACAAACTTTGTCATGGCCTGGGGTTCGAGAAAAAGATTAAAAACTTAAATATGGTTGTAGTAGACTTTCTAATCAATGTTTGTGCTAAATATAATAAAAAGTATAAAATAAAAGTATACTTTTACATTATGTGTTCCCTTGTTTGTCAGAAATGAGCCCATGACGGTCGTACTTGGAGCACATGACATTAGCAAGAAGGAGAAAAGCCAGCAATCTATCAAAGTGGCTGCGTACCATCCACATCCGGAATACACAGGAAATTTCAATTATGACATTATGTTACTTAAGGTAAAAAAAAATATCTATTTCTCTATAAAGGGTTTTGTACAATGTAGTCATCTCAGTTATTTTTTTTTCTTTTTGTCCTTCGTAGTGTTTAAATTGCACAACATGATTCACACATTTCGCACCGATGCTGTGGGGGTGAACTGCTTTACCAAAAAACTCATTGTTGCTTTAAGAGAACATAAGCACACATTGAAATGTCTAACAGATGGGTCAGCTGTTTCATGAAATACACTGCAAAATAACAAAGCAAATTATAACAGCTGTGATTTACAGTTCTACCCTCTTCTCTTTTACAGCTAAAAACCAAAGCCAAACTGAATAAGTACGTGAAGGCCATTGGACTACCTAAGAAAGATGGGAAAATCCCAGCCAACATTAACTGTGCCGTTGCGGGCTGGGGCAGAACCGGACACAATAAGCCTCCCTCAAATGTACTGAAGGAGACCACAGAGAAGATGCAATTCAGCTTTGAGTGCAAAAATATATGGCAAAAGTACTTTGATACTGATCACATGATATGCACCAAATTTAACAAAAAGATGGGAGGGCTTTGCCAGGTAATCAACAAATAAGTAACCAAACATTACATACAAAGTACATCAATAATGCTGCAAACATGGAAAAAAACTGTTTCCTTTATTCATGAAAAATCAAGTACAAACTAATCAATCAAGCCTTTTTGTTGCCTTTTTCCTAGGGTGATTCCGGTGGACCACTTATCTGCAACACGAAGCCTCAGGGTATAACAGCTTTCACCCTTCAATCTGATTGTGATAATCCCAAGTATCCCCATGTCTTCACTAAAGTTCATTTCTTTCTCCCCTGGATTAAGACAGTGATGCAGAAAGTGGGGAATGTTACATCAGCTACCATTTAAAAAAATACTGCCCTTTCTGCACTTGCTTACTGAATAACATGGCATAGAAAATCAAACAACACTTAGAACTCTTATGGTCTTAGTTTAAAAAAAAAAGATTAATGAAGCTGGTATATATGATTGTATTACATGTGAGGGGAAAAAACACAACTGATTGTATTTTTTAAAATTATGTAATTAAAAACTGTGAAATTGGGTATTTTATCACCAAATCTCATTAAACATAAATATAGCATGTGTCTATGTCCTTTTGTATCATCTTGCTAAAGCATGTCTCTATGCAATATAGAAAGTGTGTCAGTGAGTGTGATGGTTTACTTGTGGTGTAAAAGCCAGCAGGCATTACCATACCACAGACCACTGCTGTCAGTCATAGTGCAAACTTTTGAAGTTGAACCGTTTTCTGTCTGTAAACCCCGTCATCTGCAGAGAAAGTGAAAGAAATGTACTATTTTAAAAGGAGCAGTTCACCTTGAAATGAAATTTCTGAATTCTGATTTTCAGGTGAAACTTTCCTCTAACCAAAATAAACATGACATTGTGATTTCTAATTCTAATAAGATAAATGAAGAATGAAAATGCAAAACTGACCTGACTTGGATCTCTGGTGAAATATCTCTTCTCTATTACCTGTTGAGAGACAGAGAGGTTCAAGTCTTTTTTTAAAAACACAAAACTCACATGCCCATGTACATTGAAAGAGGGAACTTGACTGTCATACTAAATACATACAATTCAAATCCGTTATGACACAATTATACAGGAAATCCATGATAGTCTTATTTCTGTTGAACAAGTGTCCTTACCGACAGTATGTCATGAAAGCTATCATGTCACTTTCTTAAACTTACAGACAAAACTTTACGTTTAACATTTTAAAATAAAAATAAAAAGTAACTGGGCCTACGTGACAAAGTCAAAGTTGTCATTTTGGAATGTTACATAATGTTCCCATTGAAATTAAATTAAAACAGACTGTGATTTGAGCACTGCCATACCAAAATATTGTTAATTAATGAATTAATAAATTAATGTAAAAATAAGCAGCTATTAAATACATTTACTCATTTGGCAGACGCTTTTATCTAAAGTGACTTACATTTGAGGAAAAACATACAAGCATCAACAGAGCATCAAATACAGATCTACAACTGACAAAACATACTAGTAAGAGTAATAGCCTACACAATATACACACACAGAGGTACAGACAGTAAAGGTGATGTTGCTATAGACAAAATGAAAAATGGTACAGATATATACAGTAATGTTTATGATAATAATCCTAATGTTAATGATTATAATAACAATACTTTAAGAGTTAACAAAAAAGTGCAATCAATACAAAATAATTGTAAGGGGATAGAAGAACACGAGCACAGGAAGTGCATTTTAGGTTAAGAGTTAGAGGTGTTATAAGAGGAAGTGTTCTCGGAAGAGATGAGTTTTCAAGAGCTTCTTGAAGTTAAGAGAGGGACGCCCCTGCTCTGAGGGCATGTGGTAGCTCGTTCCACCATCGTGGTGTCACAGATGAGAACAGCCGGGACTGGGATTGCTTTGTGTGAAGGGATGGCAGAGGAGTGTAGCGGCCGAGAAGGAACATAAGTTTGTATTATGGAGTTTAGGTAGATGAGTGCAGACCCAGTGGTCACTCTGTATGCAAGCATTAGTGACTTGAATTTTATTCGGGAGGCCACAGGGAGCCAGTGGAGGTCACTCAGTAATGGAGTGACATGAGTCCTTTTGGGCTGATCAAAAATCAGACGCACTGTTGCGTTCTGAACCATTTGTAGGGGTTTCACCGCACAAGCTGGAAGACCTGCTAGGAGGGCATTGAGTCGAGGCGAGAGATAACCATGGCCTGTACCAGAAGCTGGGTGACATCCTGAGTGAGGTAGGGCCTGATTTTCCTTATGTTGTATAGAGAAAAGTTTTGTTATGGTGGATAGATTGCTTAGCTGGAATGACTAAGAGTTCAGTCTTAGAGATGTTTAGTGGGCAGTGGGAGGAGGATAATTGTCCTTGCCACAAAACATTGTAGGAACTCCCCGAGAGGTAGGATTCAAACCACAGGAGCGCTTTACTCGAGATGCCCATTGCTGAGAGAGTGGATAGCAGGATCCTGTGGTTGACTGTGTCCAAGGCAGCTGATAGGTCAAGAACCGAGGATTGAGCTGCAGCTTTATCTGACCTTAGGGCTTCTGTTATAGACAAGAGAGCAGTTTCAGTAGAGTGGGCACTCCAGACTGGTATGGATCTAGGAGGTCATTCCTCAAGAGGAATTCTGAGACCTGTTTGAATACTGCACGTTCAATAGTTTTGGATAAAAATGGTAGAAGAAACAATGGCCAATAGTTCTTAACTTAAGTTGGGTCAAGTAAGGGCTTTTTGAGCAAGGGTGTGACCCGAGCCCTTTTGAAAGTGGTTGGGAAGGTTCCTGAAGCCAGAGAAGTATTAATCACATGAGATTGCGGGGGCCACGGAAGGAGATATGGCTTGGAGGAGATTCGTAGGAATCGGGTCCAGTGGGCATGTAGTTGGAAGGCTACGGTCAAGAGTTCTGATACTACTCTCTCTGTGAGAGGAGTAAACGAGGAGAGTGAAGAACCACTGACCTGGGAGGGCGGAGGAAAAGATGCAGTAGGACTGCTACAATGTTTGAGTTTGAGAGAATTGGCTAGTTATAGCTGCCACTTTCCTGTGAAGAAGCAGACAAGTTTGTGGGTGGTGGAGGAGGATTTAGTAGCGCTTTAAAAGTGGAAAATAATTTCCTTGAGTCAGTGGCACTGCTAATTCTGTTATTATGGAACGCAATTTAGGCAGCACTGATGCTTGTTGAGAAGGAGGTCAGGAGCAATTGGTAGCCCTTAAGGTCGGCGGGGTCTTTGGTTTTTCGCGATTTTGTTTCAGAGGTTCTAAGATCAGTACGGAGCCCACAGATGGTATCAGTTAGCCATGGGTGAAATAGTGGTCTGACACGTGTAGAGGTTTGACTGTTAGGCACAGTTTCAGACAAGAATGAGGTCAAGCACTTTGCCAGCTTTGTGGGTCAGGGGGCTGAGAATCTGGACTGAATCAGAGACAGGAAGTCTGCTGAGTTCAAATTGTCTAAGTGAATGTTCATGTCTCCGAGGACAAGTAATGTCATACAGTGGAGGAGACTGAATGATATTTGTCTACATGGTAAACATTTGATGATGTATGCTTCCATCAGTATATCCACGCTGAAGAAATGTAAATGTTTACGTATAAATAACCTCCTCTGCTTACTGCATCAATTGTCAAGTCAGTCTCTGCTCAAACAGAAAATAACTGCACATCGCATTACAGAACTCTGGGTTTCTCACCTTGTCAAAGAACCTGCTAAGCTTCACTGCATTTGATGTGCCTGCAGCAAGGTATCTTGGGTTGGTGCAGTCCTGGGAAAATAGAACAGCACTTCAGCCACAAACCTCAACGAAAGCGAGTCTTTTCTTTCGCAACTGAAATTTTAAAACTGTATGTGCAGAATGTGATTAAAGCTTCTTTCAAATTGTTCCGATGGCATGTGTTTTTGTTTGTACAAACAACCCCTGTAAAGATTTTTCATGTATTGTTGTCATGCCATGGTGGCTTCTTTAATACTACCACTCGGTGTCATCAATGTTAGGGATTTTTCAAATCATAAAACAGGGCCTAGGTATGTTCAAGGTATGTTACTATAGATGTCTTTCATTTTCTTTTTTTGTGAAAGATTATAACACAGAGATTTTACTTTGCTGCTGGGTGATCAACCCATGAAGAAACTTGCAGAGATTAGCTGCTACATCACAAGTATGTCACAAGCAAGTTTATATTAGTAAAATAACCACCATTCAACAAAAAAAGTGATTTGTGTCTCATATCCTTGAAGCTTGTATGAATAGGATAATTTAAAAAATTTGAGCATATAAGGCTCTCTAGCTCCGCCCATTCTATTTATAAAGCTACAAGATATACTTTTTGTAATAGAACACTTCAAATAAAACATTACAGATTTGCAGCTGAAATCATTCAAACATGAAATTGACTTCACAGAAACTGATCTAAATGAGGTCTTTCTACACAAAATGAGAGTGGGTTTAGGGGTAATATTAGTTAGTTCCACTGCTTTTACAAAAACAATCTGCTCATCATAATCACAACTACAACATTAGCCAATTCCTTACAAACAAATGTAATAATTACATTTACTTTCCATTTCTCTAAGCCACAATGGTCCTGTTGCTGTTCAACTAAATCTTTGAGAGGCGTATGTTACCCTGTCTCTGTTTCGGTATTACACATATCAGCTTCATGTCTGAATAATCCCCTGAAGAACTTTCTGTAAAAAATAAAACTAGCAATCAGACAAGATAACACCACTGAGAGCTTTGCGCTCTCTTTCCACTCAGCTTCAGCTTTTTTTGTAATGCTCGTACAATGTCTTTGTGGGACATTTCTGTAACAGAGACCTATGTTTGAATGTCAAAAACAAATTTGTGGTTATTTTACCACATAAATGAAGTCAGCAGTGTTACAGTTTCTACTTCTGAAAGGGGTTTAAGGTCGGAGCTTGCAGGAATGAAAAAGGTGACATACGAGGTTGATCTCCTCTGCATTGAAGTCTTCAGACAGGAAGGCCGTCCGAGTGAGAACTTCATTGCGTTTGTTTTCTGGGATCTGGTCAAACTTTGTGCCAATCAGCAGCAAAGGCACTGGGTTCTCAGCAAACTGCTCTCTATCATAGTCACTGCAGGGAGAAAAAGAATAAGACATTAACTTCCCAGTATCCAGCATTTTCAGTCACAATTTAACTTTAACTGTGTCAGTGTGTATCCGTCCATTTTACCCGTTTGAGACGATAACTCCTGTTGGAGAAGAATCCTTGTTTAAAGCTTCTAGTGACCAGCGGTAGACATTCTGAGAGGATTTCTTATTTGTTAAATCGTGTACCAACATAATTCCTGAAAAAAAAAATAAGAGAAAGAAAATAACTAAATTAAAGCAACCCTAATGTTTTCAGAGTTTTTAAACAGTCATATAAAATCATCATTACCATTAACTGAATTGTAGAAGACAGCTCTGGTGCTTTTGATACTGCTGGCACTGCCAACTGATCCTCCAACATCCCAGAGTTCAATGTAGTAGGTTTTTTCCTCTGGGGTTCCCTCCTTATAGTCTTGGACCTGTAGTTGATTGTTTTGTTTTTTTGACCATTCAATTATTTAAATCCTCTTAAGCATCTTTAACATGTGATTGTTTAAACATTTCAGCTTTTACAAGCTTTGTATGAAGTATATATTATCTAAGGCTAATTTTAAAAAGGTGCCATCATTTCAGATCTTGATGATTTGCAATTCAGGAGGTCTTACCCGTACATCCACGGAACAACCGACAGTCCATGATGGATTTCCTAACACCTGGTTCTGACATAGCAGATGGACCAAGGAAGACTTGCCCACCCCTGCAAAAGACAAGAAATGTGGGTGGATGGGATCAATGTCTGGTAGATTATCTATGTCTTGATGTTAATGCTGACTGCAAGACAATAAAGACGTGGTTTACTTAAACCTTAAAGCCTCAATTGAAAAACTGTCAGAGTAACGTATCCATCGTTTTCTGTAAACAAGTAAGAGTTTTTATGTTCGATATTTGGGTGTCTCTTTAAATAGGGAAAATAAAATGCATACTTTTGTGTTGATTCCTCTTAAACTAAGCAGTCTTATTACACTTGGGTCGGAAGTGACCATTGTGATAGTATTATAGGTGCAATTACTGTTTATAAATTGAGCATCACGTGCCGATGCAGCTTTACTTTAACCCGAAATCTCCTGTCGACACAACGTTTAGCTTAATGTTGCTGTATGTCGCAGCAGGTAAACAGGTTTACAGCGCCACTAAAACACTTTCGACAAGAGTCCCTTAAAGATTAAATTAGTGTTGCAAAGCGGTGATATTAAACCAGAATGAACAAATGTTTTTCTACATGAGCAGACACGTTCATATGAGTCTAAACTATAGAAATGGTACTAAACTTACCGGAATCTCCTAAGACTAAGACTTTCACCCTGTCAAGAGATGCCATTTTTTTGGTGACAGCAGCGTCCCGGAAGAAAACAGTGGAACTCCCGCCTGCGAAGATTGTTTGTCTAATCTGATTGGTTTAAAAAAAAAGTATTCATCAGACGGGAAGGAGAGCCATTCGTCGAAATCTACATCAATCAAGCTTTCTTTGCTTCTATTGGCTGTTGAACGCAAATTTTACTCCTCAGCCATTGGAATTCAAGAAGACCTTCGTAGCCGTTGTGGTTTTATTTCCGGGGTTGTCTCCTCAAAATAAGTCATGAAGCATGCTAGCTAGCTAACCTAGCAGCTAAAACATTCAGAAGTGCGAATGTGTAACGTTAAAGTGAGTTTTAGGTGTGTTTGTTAGAGGCAGCGGCAGCGTACTCTGAAATGACTTAACTTGAGGAAACGGTGGTTTTAGCGTGTTGCTGGAACATAAAGAGTATCAGGTAAGGTTTGCGTTAGCTGGCTAGTGGTTGTCAGCAAACTGAAGTGTAACGTTAGGTTTAGTGAACGTAAGGTAACAACGCAAGCAAGAAACAAAAGATAACGAGGTTAACCGATATAACAGTTTCTAGCTAACCGTTATCCTCAGGAGTTAAAGCCAATTTGTCTCTGTTTTTTGTCTTTGTTCGAGTTGGCTAACGTTAAGCTAAGTCAGGTTGCCACCATCCAACTGCCAGTTTAGCTAACAGTGTAGTCAGGTCAGGCAGTATTAACCACCACTTTGTATATGTTAGCACAGAGGAACAAGACGTGTTAATTTAAAGGTTGTCCACCACTTAAGAAGAGATATTACGTTTGAGCAAACTCTCCTAAGGGACTTGGGGAGATTATTCAAAATATTATCTCCCTTCATATGTTCCCCAAGTTTATTTGTGCTGCTCATCTTTTAAGTCCCCTTAGATTTACCTAATCTCCCTCCCAAGCTTTGAGTGGTTATGGTTCCCTAGCTACTCATGCTTAATGAAGTCTCTGTTCTCCTAAAGACCCATTAAGATACAATATCTTCTTCAAGGGTACAATGGCCAAGAAAGGTAGCAGGACAGCAAGTCTGACAATACAGACATAAAACAACACAATCCAAACATCTACCATTTCACCTATACACACATGCAACAGCAATAGCCCACTATTACAACCAGTACATTAAGACGTCTTCATGCGGATAAAATACACCAATGAAATGCCTGCTCATTTAAAAACATTTACATTCATCTTCAAAAACATCAGTGAAAAGAAATCTCCCCTCTCTCCACAGCAGAAGATGATAGAACCAGAGCTACTCACCGAGGTGCCTGCAGCACTGAAGCGACTAGCCAAGCAGGTTGTAAGGGGTTTCTACGGAGTGGAACATGCCTTGGCCCTGGATGTGCTGATCCGCAACCCATGTGTACGTGAGGAGGACATGCTGGAGCTGCTGAAGTTTGACCGTAAACAGCTGCGCTCGGTACTCAACACCCTGAAGGCAGACAAGTTTGTCAAATGCCGCATGAGAGTGGAGACGGCTCCCGATGGCAAGACAACGCGGCATAACTACTACTTCATCAATTACAGGTGGATAATTTTCTTTTTGCATTTAACAGTGCAGATAATGGACACAGTAACACACAATAACCTCCTCTCCTTATTAATGAGTAGACTTCTGATGTTTGAGGAATAAGAGGTGGATGACACCAGGCCCTCAATTGTCATTGTCTCATATCAGCAATGTTTGGTTGAACTAAGCCCACAACACTTGTCTGCCAAGATGTTTACTAAGTACAAAAACAAAAGAAACTACACTTTAAATGACATGTAAGCGATAGTTAGTAGATGCCACACACTTCATTTAAAAAAGAAATCAATTTTTTTTCTTTTGTTATCCACATCAAAACGATTTATCGACCCACGTCAATGTTTCATACTATAAAGCTTTACCAACCTGATTTTTCAGGGTACTGGTCAATGTGGTCAAGTATAAATTGGATCACATGCGGCGGCGCATCGAGACAGATGAGCGAGACTCCACCAACCGTGCCTCCTTCCGGTGTCCCTGCTGTTCCTCCACCTTCACTGACCTCGAGGCAAACCAGCTGTTTGATCCCATGACAGGTAAACATTATCGTCAGTATGGTCAACACCTTTCACTATAAAGTTGTAAGGTGCAGACACACTTCAGTGTCAGTGCTGCCTGGCAAGGTGGCTGTCTGAAAAAAGGCGATGACAACTTTCTTACAAAGGTTACAGTCAAATAATCGCATTACTGTTGTGCAGTTGTCAGTTTTACTGAAGTATAATACTTGAGTTTGGTAAAAATCGGGGGAGACGGTGCTTCAGACCTAATGGCTTCTGTGGTCCTGGTGATAAAGTCCAAAATCCAGATTGTGGCTTCTTGTAACCAGCCTATGTAAAACTGAGTATCGAAACTGTCCGTAAAACTGCCTCATTAGTTAGAATTAACTCCATTCTGGTCTAAATTGGGGATTTCCCTTATTTGTCTAAACTTTTGTAAGTAAGAAGTGGAAAAAGAGTCAAAATCAGTTTAGAATTGAACACTTGGTGATTTAAGTTATTTTTGGAAATGATGTACAACTCTTGAGTTTCTGTTGTCTTAGGAACATTTGAGTGCTTCCATTTAACCTGGGCTGAAAATTGTACTTGAAATCACTTGCTATCACAACAAAAGAAGTAATTTACTTTAAAATCCGATTCTTACCTTGCCTCAATATGAGCTGGCAGATGTCCAAAACTTCTTCTAAATGGCTGTCACTTCACTCACTTATCACTAGGAGTTATCCATTATGTTGTGTTTGATATATGAAGAACAGAAGCGACCAGTTGATTAATATAACCAATGGATAAGCAACTCACTTGAGTCATTAGTGCTTACTCACTTGATTTAGAACCAGGTAGGCCCCTTGAAATCTGTACGGTTGCTGTTTAATCATTTGCAACTTTTAGCAGGTAGATACATACGGTATTCATGTTAACATATAACAATTAAATTCTTTGTCTGTTCTTCCCAGTTTGTTAGAATGAGGTACCATGCTTGCATCATAAGATCTCTCTTAACTTTCACTAAATATTGATTATTTACATTATTTGGCAAACACAGATTCACTGATGGGTTTGCTTTGGTCAGGTCCTGGAGTCCACCTGTACTTAACTGCAGCAAGGTGAAAAGTTAAACCACTGGAGGTCAACAAAGACAAGGTTTTCAGGGGGTGTTAAGTTACTCTTTAAATGCAGTTGCTGCAGAAGCTGAAATAAATGTGGTTGAAATACTTTAAACTTTATGCTGAATGTCAGCTGAATCAATCACTGCTTTAGCTACAAAAAACATTTTACTGTAAATGTTGGACCAAAACGAGTAGATCTGTGATAACGTAATATACTACGGCCAGTGTGTTGAAGCTTTGGGGTGTTTTTTTTGTTCTGTTTTTCAGTGGAAGAGTATAAACATTTCACACTATGTTCCAGCTTTATAAAACAGAAGTGCCCAGCATCCTAAATTGCCATCACAATGTCCTGTGGAGACCAGTTGTGGAGGAAAGCTGCTATCTACGCATGCTTAAAGTAGAAGACTATAATACTTAGATCTTAGTGGTTATTCTGCAATAAAAACACAAAAGAATGTGGGTATTAACACATTTTCAGGGATGAGTCGTAAAAAAACTAATTTGAGGAAAGAAAGTGCACAATAGCTCCACATTGGATACATACATTTTAATAGCCAGTGTAAAAGAATTGTAGGAAAAAGTTCCCTTTCCCAGTTACCTGGTACTGTTTTGGGACAGTAAGCGTCTTATGGTGACGCATTTATGATCATGTTGCCAAATTCCTCTGCACTTGTCTCTTATTTCAACATATCAACACATCAACTGGTATCGAATATTGCTGTGGAGGCAGTAACTCTGCACCCTGACAGGGGCTGACAAAAAGAATACCTGGAACTCACACTGTGGTGTTCTGATGGACTGGTTGCTTCTTCAGGGCCAGCAACACTCAGTTTGACCTCACAGGAATGGGAAATGACATTACTAGTCTTCCAGCTCATCCTGACCCACAAAGGAGAGCCGAAAACCTTCCGGCTCAGAATTTTCACACTTTGCTGTGTGATTGTGTCCTCCCCTCTTAGGGCGTTCTGACACCTATAGTTTGTTTGCTCTGGTCCAAGTTAGTTGGTAAATTTGGAGCGATTCCCTCTGGTTCGTTGTTGTTTTTTTAAAAAATGTTTTTAAATCCATCGAACCAAAATGTATTCTTACAAATCATGCCATGGATGGATATACACACACACACACACACACACACACATAAAAACACAACTCTAATATATTTCTCTCTCTCTTACACACACACACACACACAAAGCAGACATGGGGTCTGTGCTAACGCTGGAACAGTTCCCATTATTGAAACTGAAATCAGCCAGAGAAGCAGATGGTCGAACATGCCCTTCACTCACTGGTAGGAAGCAAGATGTGCGTGTGTTTCCCAAAGCCCTCTGAAATGCAATGTTTATAAAATTATCCCCAGAAAAAGACCATTGCACTGGAATAAACTATAATTTCTGGCTACATTTGGGAAGACGGTCTGCAGTTTCCTTAACATCAAGGCATCGGCTGCGGTCTAATGGAACAGAAAGTGCAGTTTCTCTAATCTACGCTAATAGATTTATCTGGAGACTGCTTTTCAGTAGTCTTATTAGCTAGGCTACCAGACTGTGAGCTTATACTGTACATCGTAGCATCACCTGTCTCTTCAGTTGAAAATGGTACTAAAATGTGTTGAAATTAGTAGTTAGTAGTAATCACCTGACCAGCAGACATCTTCTATGTACAGAGATTTGACAGTCTTTTACAATTTCATCTTAATATGTATTCCTTGATTTGTAGTACACTTCTTAGCTAGATGCTGAATGGATTGTGGAACTGAGGTATCACAGGATTTGTTACAAATCCACAATGTCAATCATAAAATAGAACATTTATGGTATAAAAGCCCCAAATCACAGCAAAAAGTGTAGTGGTTGTGCATGTGTGTTAATTGACAAAGTAAAGCTGCAGCAGGCTTCACTTGCCTCAGTTAAGGTCAGTGTTCATGACTCCACTATAAGAAAGAGACTGGGCAAAAATAGCCTGCATGGCAAGTTCCAAGCCGAAAACTACTGCTGAGCAAAAAGAACATAAAGGCTTGTCTCAGTTTTGCCAGAAAACATCTTAATGATCCCCAAGACTTTTGGGAAAATACTCTTTGGAAGGTGTGTGTCCCATTACATGTGGCGTAAAAGCAACACAGCATTTCAGAAAAAGAACATCATCAGCAGTAAAATATGGTGGTGGTAGTGTGATGGTCTGGGGCTGTTTTGCTGCTTCAGAACCTGGAAGACTTGTTGTGGTAAATGGAACCATGAATTCTGCTGTCTACCAAAAAAATCCTGAAGGAGAATGTCCGGCCATCTGTTTGTGACTTCAAGCTGAAGCGCACTTGGGTTCTGCAGCAGGACACTGATCCAACACACACCAGCAAGTCCACCTCTGAATGGCTTAAGACTTTGGAGTGGCCTAGTCAAAGTCCTGACCTGAATCCAGTCGAGATGTTGTGGCATGACCTTAAAAAGGGTTTAAGGCTTGAAACCCTCAATGTGGCTGAATAACAACAAAAGACGAGTGGGCCAAAATTCCTCCACAGTGCTTCAAAAGACTCACTGCCGGTTATCGCAAACGCTTGATTGAGGTTGTTGCTGCTAAGGGGTGCCCAACCAGTTACTAGGTTTAGGGGACAATCACTTTTTCACACAGGGCCATGTAGGTTTGCATTTTTTTCCCTTAATGAAAACCTTCATTTAAAAACTGCATTTTGTATTTACTTGTGTTATCTTTGTCTAATATTACAATTTGTTTGATGTTCTAAAACATTTCAGTGTGACAAACTGTCAAAAAAAAAAAAAGAAATCAGGAAGGGGCAACCACTTTTTCACACCACTTGTACATCATTCTTAACGGTCTATGGAAAAACATGCGCACACACTTTGTAAACTACAGCACATTTCCAACTATGCTCATTTCTGCAAGTGGTTTTTGCAAGTTAGTTTATAGCCATATACTACAAGCAATGCAGGCATGCCCCAAGTTTGTGGTTGCACGGTATCTCGGTATCACGGTATGCTCCAGCAAGGTAAGTTACCCGAACATCCTATCTTGTTTTAAACAGAGATCTTTCCCAACCCACAGGTACATTTCGCTGCACCTTCTGCCAAACAGAAGTAGAAGAGGATGAGTCCATCTGTCCTGATGCCAGGACACAGGTGGCACGCTTCAATGAGCAGATCGAACCCATCTACGCACTGCTACGTGAGACCGAAGATGTTAACTTGTCCCATGACCTGCTGGAGCCTGAGCCTACCGAGATCCCTGCCCTCAAACAGAGGTCGGTTTCTGGCAAACCTTACAGAAATACACCACTTAGTCCCCTCAGTCAGCATCACGTCAGTCCTGCAGTCCTACAGTCACACCCTGGAGCAGTTTCACTGTTTAACAACAATAATGGCCTCAGTGACATTGACTCTAACTGTTTATGTCACAGTGGAATTCTATACTATTAAGCCACAGCGATGATTCACAAGTTTAGTTTGAACACATTACACCCAATTGTTCCTTGTTTACACATATTAATATGACTGTTGAAGATAATTGTTTGGACATGTACTTAATCTTTCCTCTAGCCGTGAACGTGCTGCAGCATCCGGACTAAACTCTGCAGGCCAACACCGGGAGGCCTGGTCTAACAAAGGCTCATCCTACGCTGACCTGTACACCCAGAATGTGGTTATCAGCATGGAGGAGCAGGACGCCCAGCAGAAGCAGGCCAGTGAGGGCAAGGAAGTTAAAGAGAGGCCCGTCTGGTTGACCCAGAGTACTGTGCAGGGTGCTTACAGCGAGCCTGACATCCTCCAGAACAGTAAGTGGAGTTTTCTTGCAAGTCACCCACCGCTAACCAGTGAATATCCCGCTTTTACACTATCTGATGGCAAAAGGTTTTGGACATCAGGCACATTTTTGACATCTAAGTTTTAGAATGAAGAAATGTATAATTTTGCATACATGACCCATTTGGCTACTATAGTGTTTCTGATCTTTCAATGTAGGAAAAAAAAAAATCAACTTCCAGAATTCATTATGTACGTCTAGATGCAAATGTCCTTCATATATTAAATAACGGCTTGTCCTTAATGAAACACTGGATTAATGCTGAACCGCTGAACCCGAAGTAATGCCACATCGGTGCAGTTGTTTTTCCATTTCAAGCTTATACTCTGCCATATTCACGGAATCTCCCACTCCATGAGTCGGAAGACATTCAATTCTACATTAATATTCCTCCCACTCTTAGACACTGTTTTCACTGTCATTAATCATAAATGCTATTTCCCGTCCTTGATGAGGCTGGCTGAACGTTTTGAAATAGTGAGATAAAAGTCAGGATGGACAGAGACGAGGCCAATCCAGATCCATTCTTTTGACTTATCTCCTATAACTTTGAATCCCTGTTCTCTGTGGAGTCAGAACAGGGTATTACAGGCTAAACACGGTCATCTCCCTCTGTCCAAGTGCTCCTTCACCAAGCTGTCTTATGCTGACATTGTTTCTCCACCCAAGGGCATGCAGCAATCAGGCCTGGCCAGACTCCCATTGAACCATAATTGCTTAATTGAAATAATCAGAGGCTTCATTAGTGCATGACTGAGGAAGGATTGCTCATTAATAAAATCCATTCCTGTGGAAATTGCATGAATTATGCCTTCCAAAAGTCCTGCCTCTGAGGTGTGTCTCTGTACGTCTGTCTGTAACGATCTTGTTGCCCTTTGGGGCCTGAAAACAGACATGACATGCGAAGGTGACTTGGTTTAAATAGTTAAAAAATAATTTTGTCCAGAAACTGACCTGCAATAAGTAATGTGTGATGAAGCTGTGAGACAAGAGCCTAGATGGACTCACTGCATCAGATGTCTTTTTAAAAAAGGGTTCAAAATGTTCTAAAACAACCTAAACCTAAGTTCCAGAGGATGTTACAAGATACAGTGATTTCAGAAGTGGATATATTTCTAATCTTAAGTAATTGTTTTAATTCCACAGGTGGAGATGTTGTACCTGGAGCCCAGGATGGAGCTGCTGGGCATGGAATTGGTCAGGCAGATGAAAACGAGGAAGTGATGCGTGCCTTGCTCATCCATGAGAAGAGGGGCATGGCAGGGGCAGGAGCAGGTGGAGCGAGCACTGCTACAAAGGGGCTCGTCTCCGCCACAGCTAATGCCAGCGACTCAGAGAGCGACACCAGCGAATCAGATGATGACTCTCCCTCAGGTCCTGCCCCCGCCGCAGCTGCTCAGCATCGGGCCAACGACGAGGAGGAAGAGGACGACGACGAGTTTGAGGAGGTGGGGGATGAGCCGATGGTGACGGTGGGAGGCCGGTCGTTCTCATACCGAGAGGTCAGCCAGAGGCCGGAGTTGGTGGAGCAGATGACTGCACAGGAGAAGGAGGCCTACATTGAAATGGGACGAAACCTCTTCCAGGACATGTACTTCTGAACACACACACACACTTTTATAAATATGTTACACACATAATGAAACACGTTGATGAATTGGCTTTGAGTTCCCGAATGTATACTTTACTGCAGTCTCACACTATCGCTGGTGATATCTGAGGAAATGTTTACGTGCTGCTCAAGAAGTATTTACAGCCAACGACATGCTTCGACAGTGTTGCCTAAGTGATCACACCTTTTAGTATTCTGTCCTAAGTATTTTTAATTCTCAGTCACCAAACCAGAAGGTAGCTGGCCAGCTGCAGTTTGTGCCAATTAGTGTTTTTGTTAGTCTGTTTTATTTTCATTTCAGCTGTAAGTTTAACATACTGTCTGCATCATGTATCTGATGGAACAGACAAGCTTCAGTTATAATCAATGCACATCAGTTGACCCCCCCCCCCCCCACACACACACACACACACACACACACACACACACACACACACACACACACACACAAACAAACACACAAGTCAGTCCCTATAACTACATTGGGTTTTTTGGGCCGTGAGCTCTGCCAAAAGACATAGGCATAGCAATAATGTGGCTGACTGTACGCAGTGTGACACTGAAGCTGCCGACGTGCTGTTTTCCAAATATTTTCAGTTTTTCTGAAAAGAAATCAGACTGGATTTAAAAGCTCATCTCAGGCAAATGTTGAATACAAGAGGATATGGTTGAATTGTTTTGGTTTACAATAAAAAAAAAAATTGTTATTCTGAACTATCTGTAATAAAAAGATACTGCAGTACAGCAATATGCATGGACTAATGATAATGTGTACATAGTGATGAATGAAAGCATCGTGTACTAGCAATTTACCCTGACAAGCAGTTCAGAATATAGAAGTAAGGGGGCACTGTGACATCTGTCTTGTGGACAAGACAGTCTATTGTGGGTGCTCTAAATTATACCCCCAAAACTATGGGTTACTATGTTGTTTATGTGTCTTCATCCTACAACACGGACCTTAGATCTCTTCAACTGTTGGCTAGAGAGACAGGGCTCTAACCATTTTAAATGATTAATATTAAACAATATAAGCAGCAACAGATAATGAGACTTGATTGAAATATGTTTCACCGACAGTTAAACCATGATGAAACGAGGCGTGTACATCATTTGCAGTTCAGTGTTTTTTGTTTTTTTTATTCTTTTGCATTAATCTTCGCTTCACAAAAATACATTTAATTTTAAACATCCACGACACATCTGTTTGCTTTAATTCTCTACACAGCATAATGCCTCCTAATGTGTCAAAAGGCCCATGGTCCCGCCACATTTCTCCTCCTAATGCACAAGTTAAACTAATGTGATGCTCTCATTACAGCCTGGCATCAAATATACTTGTGTTCAGTACTGCGAGAGAACACATTTTCTTATAGAACATTAAATAAGAACAATATTACAATATTTGTCATATTTTATCATTATAAAATACATTTCTAATAAATGTGAAATATGTGAAAAATATATCCCTTGTTTGAGCGGGACCTACTGCTGTCAGTGTCATTCAGCTGCAGCTGGATTGATTTAAAAATGTGATAAAATAAAGATTTCATACAGTATTTTGGATTAATTTATGTATTAAGATTTTTTTTTAATCTACAAATTACACACATACTACACATTGCTGCTGATGCATATCTAAATCCTCTTTAGGATCTAGTCAGTGTGTTCATACCATTCCACTCCATGGAAATATCTTCCCAGTTAGACCTTTCCTGTCTGGTTGGGTCATATCCACGTGACAGGTATTTATTGAGGCAGTCCCTACTGGGCAAACACCCTCCCGTACTCAAATGTGCTGTGTTCTAGCAGGATATAGGGTATTTCTTTATGTGGCTGTTCAAATAATGACTGCTGCGGTGTAACCACAGTAACCCACGGCACTGGGTCACCTACTCGTAATGGGGGCAAATTCCCATCAAAGTCTGAATATTAACGCAGACCTGGCATTTACAGAAAAGAGGCCTTTTCAAATAAAATGCTAAATGTTACACCTGTCATGGTACTGGCAGCTGTGAATATTTACCAGATTAGAAAAAGTCATTGTGACAATTTCACATGAATCCTTGTAACTATTTATTTTATTTCTTTTACTGTAGCTTGACATTGACATTCTTTATACTCACATATGCACCGGCGCTGGGGCGTCAGGGAATGAGACCGGTTACGATATGTCACTTCAGACCTCAGCTTTTACCATAGATAAGATCAATGCCTAGATCTTGATCCTGTAACTGAACAGTATGCCTATGCAGATTGGAAACTTCATGTTAAAAGTATCCTTTTTTAGATGTTCAGTAGATGATGATAATGAAAGCTAAAGCCCTCCAATAATTTCAGTAACCATATTAATACTGCTGGACATTTATTTAAATGAAAAATTTCTGCATTACCTTAATATAAAGGCTACAAACAGAGCGTGCCCTTTCCTTTGTTTAACTATAGAAATCCTATTCTGTATGTGTGCAGTATTGAAGCTCAGTAGATCAGGTTAGCGCCATGCACTGCTGTCTACCACAGTGTCTTTCTTGTAAAAAGGGGGTGCTAAAATCAGAAATTTTAAAATTGTATGCATTCAGAGTATCTTCACATTGCTTAGAGTTGTTCTGGGGATATTTTTTTATGACAGGCTGGGACATTTGTCCTGTGTGTTGTCAATTTGCATTATGCTATATTCATCAGTCTTTTTGATAATGTAAAGAGTTAAAAAGAAATCTTTGGAAACAGGAAGTAACAAAATGGCATACAAATCTGTTAAAAAGTAATTTGGACAGTTAATTTTGGGATTGTAGTAAAGTTCATTGCTAAAATAAACGTGTTTACAAATAGATTGGGGGGAAGGGCAATAACAACAGCATTTAATCTAATATCTGTAATTTTGAAAGGTGTCCCAAATACCAAATCATTGAGAATTAACACCCAACTGCTCTACTAAGCTTTTTAGCCTCTTTTAGCGCTTGTGTTGGTTTTACAATTACTATGTGGTCTCACACGTATGCTACCTATCCAGGACCAAAAAGGCAGACAGGCTGATTTAAGTGGCTGATATATGTTCATATATTTATCTCAGGAGTTGGTAAAGATCAGAATAGAGCAACAAACAAGTGAATATTGTAATCATTAACACTTGTCAGGAGGCCTGAAACACGATTCCAAATGAATGCTAATGTTGCCTGATGTCTTTTGTGTAGTGTAATGTGTAAGTAGACAAGTGCTCTTGAGGCCAACGATGAATTAAAAGCAGCTTTAAGGAGATGGGTACTAACACCTTCTGGTTGACTTCTTATATTCATAACCTAATAGATTCACTTCCTCTCTATAGTAATATGTTGCATCTTTTGGGGGGTTGAAAACTTTGTTTATTTTATACGCTACACTTGACTGAAAAAGTGTGGTATACTTCAAATACATTGTTCATACATGTGACCACAGAACATCCCGTTCATCTTGCTGGAGGATAGCACTGTTAATAAGTACACCAGATCCTGTGTAACGGCTAAGAGAAAAAAAACTCTACTGGGTGTATTATTTGCAGGTGAAAATGTCGTGCTAAGCAGTGGAGCTTGGTGAGGTCTGACACCTCTGGGGCAGCCCTACAAGCACATACATCCCTTTAAAGTTAGAGGATGGACACCTGTAGGGCATAGCCTCAAAGGTCAGGATGAAAACAGGACCTGGCCTCATTAAAACATCCCCCACCCTTCAGGACGGCTCAATTAAAAACCTAACCTCACACTGTGCCATTGATCTGCCAAGGCAAGCCTGAGTGTGGGGATATGGGACTGGGTTATGGGAGGGTGAACACGACTCAGTAGGGAATCCACAAAGCTGTAAAAAATAATGGCACCTTGAAGATCAGGTGTGGCGTAGTGAGAGGTGGCTGTCGGGAGTTTAAACACTTGAGCATATTTCCGATCTGCTCTCTTCCGAGTTTGTCTTCATTATTATGTTTTTTCCTCAGCATTTGTTTGTTGAAGAGAGAGAATAATTAAACAGAGAGGGAATTAAGGAGTGGAATTTCACTGGGACCGGATTTGGAAGGGTGTGGTGTATAGCTGGGTTTTTTGTGCATGTGCGTGAGAGAGTATGTGTGGGTGAAGACTCACAGAGACAGGTTGTAATGACTGATGCTTCACGAGGTTTGCCTCAGAGATTAAATAAGGATTGATTGCTTGGAGATGTCTCTGTCACTCTTCATCTGATGCAACCCGAAGATTAACGACTTAATGATCGACCCTGTTTGTGTGTCTGTTATTCAGCCTGCCATTCTCTTTCATCGCCGCCTTTGAAATCTGCAAGCTCTTAAGAAGCTAAGGCTATTTAATCCATCCACCTATCCATCCATTCATCTATATGTATGTTGGGATGTGGGGGCGAAGAAATTTTAAGACAGTTGCAGTGAGTAGTTTTTACCTGCAAGTTGAAATTTCTGTTCAACACTCGATTTCTAGATACTATTTACATTTACACAGATACCACTTCGTTAAGACTTATAGCACTATTACAGCTGGAAAGTGCAGCAGCCACAAAGTCTACATGGCTGAACAGCGATGCTAACATGCAGATATTTAGCAGGTTTAATGTTTACCGTGGTCACTGTTTTAATTTAGCTTGTTAGCATTCATTCATTCAACATTTGCTAATTAGCGCTAAACACAAAGTTCAGCTGGGGCGGTTGGGAATGTATTTGTTTTTGCAGGCATTTGGCCGTAAACCAAAGTATTGGAGAAATACATTTTTATGACACGATGAAGTCACTAGAGGACAAGTGAATTAAGGGATTGCCAAAATGATTGCTATTCATCCTCAGGGGGACTTTAATGTCTGTACCAAACCTCATGGCACACCATCCAAGAGCCGTTGAGACATCTCGACATCCGGTTTGAGTCCAGCCAGGGACCTTTGTTGCATGTGGTTCCATTTCCGTCTCCTTTCACTTCTTCTCATCTCTCTACTGTAAGAATCTCTCATAAAGGTATAAAAATGGCAAAACCAACAACAAAGAAAGAAAATTAAATCTGACCACCTTGTTATCCCTAGACACTTTCTGCTTGCATGTACAGTATGTATGCAACAGAGGAGACAGTGATATGTACATTCTGCCAAACAATTGACCACAAAAAAACATGACATCCACAGCTGCCTTTTTAGGGAAATAAAAATGATGACATAGAAATTGCTTGTTAAGTCCTCTCAAAGCGTCAGCCTTTTCCATATTTCAGTTTTTTTGTCAATCTTGCCATAGAAAAACAAAACTAATGAACACAGGCATAGATTGTTGTGGGCACTGAAAGTGAGGCTGGAAATGTGTGGTTGTTGGCCATGCTGAGCTCCTACCGCAGCAAGCATGACAAACATCTGTCCTTATTTAGAAGCTGTTAACCTTTGGTGGAAGCGTTTCACATCCATTTTGACAAGAACAACCATTATTCAGCTTAATTATTCATGAGAGTCACCACACTCAACCTCACCAGCCAAGGACAGTGATGCATCTATGGAGGTCTGTCTATTTTGGCCTGAGATACAGTGTGGGCCTCTTTACACCTGTTATTTACATCCATCAAGTGTCACCCAAAGTGACACTTATGGAAGCTGTTTTATTTTCTCTGTTTGTAGCGAATATGAGGATGAATTGCAAGCTGATTCTTTTTTTTCACTTATTATAATAATTCACTGGCTTTTACCACTCAAATTATGCTGGCGTGTATAAATTAGCTTAACACAAGAAAACATTTGTTCCCACCACATGT